CCCCCACCCCTAGCAGAGTTGAATGGGTTGTTAACTCCTTCTCTGCCTATCCTCCCACTCCCACTCCTAGCCTCTCCCCCTACCTCATATATCCAAAAATGCCCCAAGTACTGGGCAGCTCCACTCTGGGACACCTGCTGGCTGATTGTGGCCTACTAAGGGCAGGTTGCCTATGTGGGGTGAAAAATTGGAAGGAAAACCTCCCAAGCTTTCCCTGAGCCAGGCCCAGCAGGGTAGCTAAGAATGCTGTGCAGTGGGACCTGCAGACTTCTATGCTCCCCCACTGGCCTGCCATCCCCTGGCTGCGTGGCCCAATCCCTGCCTGGAAAGGTTGCCTACTGACTTCTGTGCCCTGGCAGTGCTGGGTGGGCTTGTGGAGAGTAACCCAGTAGTTACTGGGAGCACCCAGTCTGCTCCCAGTCTAGAGGCGACACTCGGGGTGGAGTAGGGTGAACTCCCTCCTCAAGGCCCATCGCGATCCCACAGATGGGCTTGTTCACCCTGAGACTTGGGGGATTTTACCACCACCCTCAGTTCACTCCCCGTCATGTGACCCCACACGTGCATTTTCTATGCCCTTGTAAATTCTCTAGGCCAGAACTAGGGGATGTTGTAGGACATCTCGGAGGCAGGCCTGCAGATTCCCACACACCATGTGGAAAAAAAGAGGGGAAGGCAGAAGGTGGGTGGCCCTTGGCCCATCCTCCCCACTCAAGGACTCGCTCTTGGCCCCAGGCCGCCCTGGCCCTGGGCCTAGCCTGCCCCAGCGGGCACATGCCTGCAGGCCTCACCAGGAGGCGCCAGCCTGGCAGCTGGCCTCATGCCTGGAACTGAAGCTTGAGCCGTTCTCGCCAAGCCCTCTGCCAGCTTTATTTCCCAGAAGGCTGTCCCCGAGGGGGAGGCACAGAGTAGGCGGAGGAGGAGGGGCACAACTCCTGGCCTAGTCTACAGATGCCTAGTTGGGCCCCGGGGCTGCCAGGGGGTCAATGAGAGCCTTCGGACAACTGCCCTGCTCTGGGCCCTCACTTGTGTGATCCTAGGGAGCTATGGCAGGTCCTATGCTCTCACAACAACAGGGAAACCAAACCAGGGCAGGAAGGGACATTAGCCCAGCCTCACTACAGGGACTTCCGGCACACTCACGCTGGAAAGTGCTGGAGAGGCTGAATCACAAGCCATTCCAGACATTCCCATTGGTCAGGTGGGAGAATTGAGGCTCTGAGAGGTGGGGACAGAACTGGGCTGAAACCTAGGCCTGTTGCCCCACAGGTGCCAGCCTTGTCCTACACCACTAAACCAGGAGATCAGACCTGCTGGGGAGTAGAGGGGGGCAGGTTTGGGGGTGGGCAGGGGAAGTGGGGTATGGGAGGGAGCCCAGCCTATGGGGGTGGTGCTGTGGCTGCTCCTCCTCCCCGCTCCCTGCTCCCTGTTCTTGCCTGGCAGGGAAGGAGGGGAGTGGGGGAGGGGTAGCTCTCATCAACACCTCTGCAGATGGTGATAGGCCCTGGAGTAGGAGGTGGGGGTGACCTCCTCAATCAGAGGAAGGGGAGGGGTTGCTCTGTAGGGCTGGCACTTCTGGAGCTGGGTGGGGGGAGTATTCTCACCTCTTAATTAGTCACCTGTTAGGCTAAGATCATAGCCTGCACCAGGAAGGCCAAGGAAGTGAGAGAGCAAGCCATGGGAATGATAGGATGACAGTTCTGGAGTGACCCCCAGGAAGAGCAGTCCAGGCAGAGGGAACAGCCAGGGCAAAGGCTGGAATGCAGGAGGCAGCCTGGGGGGGAGGGTGAGAAACAGTGAGTGAGTGGGATGAGGGATGTGGGGGGGAATCAAGGAGGATTCCAAGGTTCTAGCCTTAAACAGCTAGAAGAATAGTCGCCATTAGTGAGTTGGGGCAGAGAGTAGGAGGAGGAGCCGGAAGAGGAGGGTCAAGAGATGCCGGCAGCCCTCTGAGGGGGTTGCTGAGGGGTGCTTCCTGGCACCCCTCGCCATTGTCCTGACAGCAGAATGAAGCACCATCACTAAAGCTCTCAGGGCCCAGCAGAACGCCTCCCTTTTCCTCTGCCCCAGGCTTCCAGGAGCCAGGAGGCACAGTGCTGTGCCCAGAACTCCCGAGCTCAAGGCAGGACAGGCTCCAGACAGGCAGGTCCAAGTCCTCATGGCTCTCCCACTGGAGAGGGCGATTCTCAGAGCATGACTGGCTTTGGGTCCCAGCACAGTGAGAGGCAGCGCTGGTTGAAACTAGCTCTCCTGACACTCACTCAGGACTGTCAGGAGCCGCCAGCCCCGGGGCCAGGGACCCTACATGCGGGGCGGGGTGGGGGGGAGAAATGCCACCAGGACCAAAGCCTGTGCGGGAACCCTGGACCTCTATCTCCCCTCTGTGGGAAAGAGCCCCTCGAGGGATGACAGGGAGGAGAACTTCCCACCAGGTGTGGCCTAGCAGAGGTTCACCCAGATCAACTGTATCCACTCCAGGCACTGGGAGTGGTGGGTCACCCAGCCAGCCAGCGCAGAGGAGGGACCAGTACACCCTGAGCCACAGCAGCCCCGTGGCCACACCCCTTCCCACACTAGACACCTTCCCTGACTCCCTACTGTCTCCCATAGCAAACTGAGCCTCCTCTGGGCCTAAAAGCTCCCGCTTCCCCCACTCTGCTGCATTTGGTTCAATGGTCTGCTTTCTGACCTGTTCTCGCCGTCTCCACCCAAGCACATTCTCTCAGTCCTTTAAGGCCTCTTCTTCCCTGCTGCCTTCCCTGACTGCCCCAGTCGACTATGCTTCTGTCTCCCAGCAGCTCTCACCATGGTGGTCCTTTTGGGCCATGAGTTCACAGGCTGTGGTGCTGTGAACCCCTGCAGCACTTGTGTCTGCTTGGGTTAAATAGCCAAGGAGGCACCATGTGTGGGCAGGTGTCACTCCTCCTTCCTGGGCCGCAGGGTCCTCTGGGCAGAAGATGGAGGAGGTGTCCAGGACAGACACATTCATGCATCTCCACTGATGGACTGAGTGACTCCATGGATGTGGGGAAGTTTGGCAAACTATAAAGTGCTGTGCACAGAGGGGCCTGAGGTGGGCGGAGATGAAGTCATGGGAGAGACCCAAGAAGATGGCCAGTTGCTAGGATGGCAAAGGCAAGTGGGTTGAGGAATTATAGGCAAGGGAATCTGCAAAAGCAAAGGCTTGGGGTGGGACGGGTCTTGAGAGATGGGGTGACCTCATCCTGTAGGAAATGGGGTCTGGGACTTGGGAAGGCAGAGAGGCCTGAGAGAGATGTAGGGTGGGTGACAGAGGTGGGGAAACAGGGCCAGGGCCACTGCCCTATCATTCCAGAGTAGGTGGACAGGCCCTTGGAGGGAAGCCTTGAGGGGCTAGAGGTGATAGGGTGGCAGGAAGGGGATGTGTCACCTCGGAAGAGGCCAGCCACTCAGCCCTGGCTCTCCCCACAGAATGCGGAAGGCCCAGAGGACCCGCTGGACACGTCCCAGAGCTCAGAAACTGAGATTGGCCACCTGTCTCCTTCTAACAAGGAGACTATCGTGGTCACTCTCCATGGAGCCACAAACCTGCCCACCTGCAAGGATGGTTCCGAGCCGTGGCCCTACGTAATGGTGTAAGTAGCTGCGAGAGTGGGGGTGGAGAGGGCAGGCCATGAGCAGAAACCAGAGAAAGGCTATTGGCACATGAGTACCCAAAGGTCCAGGACTGGGGCTGTGATGCCCAGAGGGGAAGAGCCGAGTGGGACCACACAGGGGCCATGGGCTATGCCAGTGGGAGTTCTGACATCTCCCCAGCTGCACAGAAGTGCTCACCAGGGCTGGGGAAGACAGCATGCCAAAGAATCCCACTTGCTGGGCAAGGATTTGTCTCAACACCACCCCAGGCGTTATGGCCCTTGGATGCAGAGTCTAAGCTAGGCTCCTGGGGGGGATGGTTAGAGGAAAGGGAGGACTTGGGGTGCCTCTCCTGGCTTCTGGGGGCCCTGTCCTCCCACACCCAGCCCTGGGCTCCTGGCCTCACAACCATCCATCCCCTCAGCCCCTACCTCGTCTTGTCATTTCTATCATGGGGGCTTCCCAAGTTCTGGTCCTTCAGTGCACCCTGCATGCGTTCCGGCTGGCTGCTGTCAGGGTACACTCTTGTCCAGCCTGGTGCCAAGGCCTGCACACCATGTCTGCTGTCCACCTTGTGGGCCTCACTTCCCCCAAAAGGTTACCAAGAATCTCCATCCAACCAATATTTGCCATGAACGTTGGACATTTGCTCAGTTTTATTGCAAAGCACCCCCTGCAAGGAACCTGTTGCCCCTAGTTCTCTTTATAGATGTTCAGAGCTCCACGGCCTCCCAATAAGCCACCCTCTGTTCCCTCCCTCTGCTCCCCTCCTCCACCGATGCCAGCATTACTCAGTTCCTGCCAACAGGCGGTCACCCACATCTCCTTTAGGGGAGTGCCCGCCCCACCCTCTCACCAAGATCCACTGAAATCCACACCTCAAAGCCTCACTCATGACGCCCCTTCCTCCAGGCAGCCACCAGAGTTGGGCTCCCCCTGCTCTGGAGCCGCACAGCCCTGGCAAGCCTGATCTGAAATGCTTTCCATAACTCTGGCGTCCGCGCTCCTCTTCTGTCCCCCAAACTGGAGCTTCCCGAGGTCTCCATTTCTCTAGCAGTGGACAGGCCCGAGGACGGACTTAGGGGCCAAGGAGTGACTGAGTAAAGCACCTGGTTACTATGAAAACAAGACACACACACACACACACACACACACACACACACCCCAAGTACACACAGAGTGAGGGAGCGAGGACAGAAGCTGCGCCGGAGACCAACAGGTGAGACCCTCGCCTGCAAAACCCCATGTGCGCATGCGCAGCTCCCCGGGCCTCCCCCCCCCAGCCCCATCTCCGCGGCAAGGGGACAGGTGGTGGGGAGCGGGCTTGGCCGGGAGGCCGGTTTCCAGCAGGGAGCTCGCCTTCTCCCCTCAGCTATTTCCATAAACCAATTATCGCCGATCATCTCGGGAGATTGAGGCCCTGCCTGTCACCCATCCGGCCTGGGCGGCGGGGCGGGGAGCTGGGTGGCCGCGGTGCTCCCC